TTATTTGTTCCCACTAGACTGGAGAATCTAGAACACTGAAAATAATGAGGATCTGTGGACGTGAAGGGAAATTATTCTTAAGCACCGACATCTTTACAGCCAGCCACCTTGAAGGGCATCTTGGAACTATTTCCTAAAATGTGAGTTCCCTCTTACCTGCGGCTCAGAAGTTTTCACATCCTTATTTGTTCATTCATTCTCAAAACAGTTGCGAAGTGCCAAGCATGTCCCTGGTACTGTCCTGGGCACGGGGAGGCCACCGGGAACCTGGGTTAAAGCTGCCTGCTGTTCAGCCTCCTGCACCAAGGGAAAAGGGACCCCAAAGAAATGCAGGAGCGCCCCAGTCCCGGTAAGCAAAGCAGATGGCACAGGATCCCTTACGGGGCCGGGGCATGCGGTGCTTGAAGAACCAAGCCAGGGCTGAGTGGACATGACGAAGAGCAGCCTTGCCTGGTGGGGGGTGGAAAGGTCAGACCGAATGTCAGGGATCCTTGGTCATGCCTGAGGCTACAGGGCTGACTCAACTGTGACACTCCAACCGGGTTGTGGTGTAGCCGTGTCGAGCATCATCCGTGGTTAGGAGCATCCCCATCGGGCTGCCAGCGGCCAGCACAAACCATTGATTTTGTTAGGACAAACCATCCAACCCTCTGGTGGGCTGGGGACTTGCGTCTGATGGGCGGAGACAGGCAATCGCCGAGTGAACAGATCCGAAAGTGCTGTGAGGTCAGGACGTGATGAGGGATCTCTAAGAAAAATCAAGAGGATAAGGGGGTTGGGAGCGACATCAAGACAGACTGGGTTGCACTGAGGCAGGGGGTTTAGCACTGGAAGATAGGGAATGACCTCATTCCCATCAATAGGCAAATGGCCAGAGAAACTAGGACACACCCAGGCTACCTCGCACACAATACTGCATGTTCCGTGTGCTTATACGTGTGCAGGGAGATGAAGAGCCTAAAATTAAGGCCTCCATTAAGAGCAACCTCGGGCTGCACGTAGCGTCCATTTCCTCAGATTGCTCTAGGCTGAAGCCGTCCTCTGACCGCCCTCAGATCAGCTAATCAAACAACATTCCTGTGGTCTGAGTCAGGGCCGGGAACTGCAGACAGTTATTTTGTACAAACTAGCCAATTTCTCACCGCTTGCCTGAACCCCACGTGGGCCCTTTGAATTCACCTCATAATTGGTCATTTTCAAAGGATTCTCAAAAGTCATGATGGGGTCCCGCCAAAAATAATGAACACTTCACAGATACTGAATGGTCAGAACTGTGGCCATGGGTGCTGTACAATTGTAATCGGTGCTTATGTGATGATGCTATATGTACAACGTGTGACTGTAACACCCCCATCCCTGACCCCATAGAAACCCCGTTCGTTATTGTTTGGGGCTTCACCTTCTGCCGCGACACTGGTAGGTGGATGAGCCCCTGGTTGAGCTTGTAATAAAGACCCTTTTGTACTTGCATCAGTGTCAGCTCCTTGTGGGTCTCAGGGGACTCGCGAATTGGGCACAACAGGAGACATAGAAAAAAAGACATGGAAGTTTACCAGCCAAAAAGTAGTGATGATATAGGGCAGGAGGAAAGGGCGTGGCACTGGGAGCGACCTTCAGAGGGGACTGTGGTGCCAGCTGTAACACTGTAATAATTATTCAAATAAAGAAAATGTATCCCTGGATTAGTTCTGTAACTTTTTGTCAAGAGCATGATTACAGGGGACTCTGAAGATATGCCTTTATGCTTTATACATCAGAAAATATTTTCAAACTTTCAAAATACAAAACGAAATATCCGTAACCATGTTTGGAAGTTATGCATACAAAATAGGTCCGGAAAATTCCACCTAATCTAGAAACTCTTGCAATTCCTCTGAAACCATTAGACTCTGGTAAATAATCAATCCAATTAATATTTGTTGAGTTCCTATGATAAGTCAAATGTCCTTGAGGATTAAACCTCCATGAAGAGTGGCTGCTAGGGAGTCACTTCCTTCCCCTGACAGACGCAGCAGACAGACAGACTCCCAGTGGCTCCATCATGGCTGCTGTAACGCAGGGACCACACAGCCCTGACCCAGCACAGATCTCTTCTAAAGGTCAGCCTTTGCCCTGGGACCCCCTACTGGCTGTCCTCAAGGCTGCAGTGACCTCTGAGGCTCCTCCAGCTTGGTCCTCCCCTGCCCCCAGCCTCCCACAAGTGCGGTCCTCACTGAGGTCTGAAGCTCTCCATCCCCACCTGCTTCCTCTCCCCTCTATCCCTCACAGACTTCCCCTTCCTTACCCTTTGACTTCTAACTCCATCCTGACCTCTGCTTCCCAGAGGATCCAAACTGACACAATAGGTCAAAATTGTATCTATTCTGCTCAATCTTATCTCCCCCCCGCCAAGTCAACACCAAAACAAAGAGTAAAGTAATATACATGAAATACACTCAAACCAACGACAATCAAAGAGGGGTGGGAGAAAACCATGCTGTAATATTTTATGCTTTTCTTTTTTAATTATTATTTTAGGCTTTTCAAATTAACCCAATAAATAATGCTGATGAATTGATTGTGAAGCTGGTATAATCACACCCTGCTAGTATTTATAATCAGCATATCATTTTTCACAGCTAGCTTGGCAACACAAATAAAGAACTTTCAACTCAATCCAGCAGCCCTCTGTCTCCAGGACTGGTTCCAAAGCATCTTTAAGTCAATTTAAAAAAGAAATAAGACAAGAAAACAATGGCTGTACATCAGGTTAGCCATCGTGTCCTCAACCATGAAGTAGATAACGCACATTTCCAACCAAAGGAAACCGGCCACTTGGATGAGTTCTCTCATTCAGAAAGAGGAGGCTGACATACAATTGAAATGAACTGTAAGTGGCCTCTTGAAGACACAGACATGAAGAGAGCTGGATTTTCAGAATCTTGATCTTCTGGAGCCTGCTTCCACACCCCCCAGTGCCTCCCGAGTCGGGTCCAGGGAGAGAGAGCAGTCTGCATCTTCCTCTGAGGTTGATACAACTTGCATCCCTGGGGAGGGAAGCTCCATTTCTCCCTGTGGAGTAAGTAGAATTTATGTCATGCTGGGATTCGTTTTATCTCCCAATGCTCTGTGCTCCATGCTCAGTACGCAACACACTCGATTTTGTTGATTTTCAGAGCGCAGTGATTCTGAGACATTTTATCGACTTTCCAGAGTACAAATAGAAAAGAACTCCATTAAGTGTACGAATCCACTGTAAGATGCGCCTGGATTCCAAAATGTTGAGAAGAACAGCCCTGTGTGTCTTTGAGCTGGGGACGTGGAGGGTGGAGGGTGGAGGGTGGAGGGTGAAGCCCGAGTCCCAGGACCTGGTCCACTGTGACCGGCTGCTTGTGCACCACACTCTCCTGGTCACCTGTCAATACACAAGGGACACTTGGGTACCATGGGACAGTGGACAAGAGAAATATCCAGGTAGGGCCCATTCTCACACGCACACATCACACATGTGTACCAGCAGCACGAGCCTCACAAAACGTTACTTGTACTGTGTTCCGATCTACCCTGTACTCTCATTACTTACAATGGCTCCTTTCTCCACCCACTGGTGACCAGCACAAGATGACACCTCTGCCCCGGGGACAGTGGCCCCAAGCTTCGGCCCCAAGCTTCTCCACGGCCATTGGAGAAGAGGAAGACCTGAAATAAAGCAAAAGCACTTCTTTAGGGGTCTCAGAGTTGCAATTCGGAGAGCACAGGTTTGGACAGCCACTCAAATTGTGTCCCATGGGGAACACGAGTTGGGGTGTTAATGACAATGGAGAAGTCATCAAACAGTGTGTGCTGTTTACAAAGGATCTGGGTCGGTGCTGGTGGCAGGAAGCACATCTTGGCTGGACGTAATTGGCCGCTAAAGCTCTCAGTGAACAAACACCCATCCCCAGAGCACATTGCAGGGGGACACACAGAGTCCTTGGAATATTTGCAGTTTGGTTTCGCGGGTTCACGGTTCCACCCAGCAAGGAGCTTCCTGGCTCCATTTTAAACCCCCAGCATTGGGCAGTAGGAGGTAAATGGCACGTGACTCAGTGGCCCCACTCACAGTAGATGCCTCCCGACCATGATGCCAGGCACCTCCAGAAAGTGGCCACGTCTTGGATGAGACAACTGAGGACTTCCTAAATTGAGATCAAAGGTTATATTTGTGTGCTTACTCGTCCCCACTCCCTTGGGTCTTGAAGCCTTCTTACAGAATACTGGAAGTTTCCATACGGTACAGAGATCGATTGATTGATCAGTTCCTGGTCACTCAAAGCCCTATACACACACCTGGAGGGGGTTCTTGTCAGGGGGAGGGTAACGAGTCAGCAGGTGCCTGCCCCGTTGGGCTTGTTTCCCAGACTCCCACTTTCTGACAGGGGCTTGGCGGAGCCCGCAGGGATGTTCCACACCTCTGTCTTCACTTTTGAGAAAACACTTGGAAACCTCTGTATACCAGCCACTCTCAATAGTGGAGCCAGAGTCAAAGGGCAGGGGAGAACTCCTCACAGTGACTGGAGGGAAGTGGAGGGCACACCAAGTTGTTCGGTTCACTTTCCTCTGCGTCCACAGCTGACGTGACCTGTGGTCCTGGATGAAGGGCTTTGAGTGGAATCACAAAGGAAGCAACAGGGCATGGGAGCGGCTCAGTCAGTTAAGCACCTGTCTCTTGGGGTCAGCTCAGGTCTTAATCTCATGATTTGTGAGTTCAAGCCCTGCATCAGGCTCTATGCTGACAGCCTGGAGTCTGGTAGGGATTCTTTCTCTCTCCCTCTCTCTCTCTCTCCCTCTCTCTGTCCCTCTCTCTCTCTCTCAAAATAAACTTTAAAAATTTTTAAAAAGGAAGCAAGAGAGCAGTGATCTTCTAGTTTACATTAAAGACGTCTCTTGCACCTCTTCTATTTTACGCTCAGAACAACCGTGGGACGCACATACTTGCTTTAATTCACATTAAGTTGTAAGACCCAGAAAGGCCATGAAACTTCCAAGTGTCACCCAACCCAAACGGCACTGGGAATGGGAAGGCCTGTGAACACGTGTCCCTGGAACTTCGGGCAGCCGGACGCCGGGAAGTGCTGATTCTGGAAGGGGGTGTGGCCGGCAGAACAGCTGTGTCTCCTGTGGGATCGTGCGTGGACATCATCCCCGAGCCTCTGTCACCTGAGGCAGTGGATTCATTCCGGCAAGTACACTAGCCCGAGGCGCCTGGGAATGGGTTCGGGTGACTTGATAAGTCTGGTTCAACAGTCACGCTTCTGTGATCAAGGGAAACACGGCGCTAACGGATCCACAGGGAACTTGCTGCACGTGACCTTCATTAAGAGACCTGAGGCCCTTGGATGAGATGACCCGCCAGCATAGTCACCAGCTCCCAGGAAGCAGTGCGGGTCGTGGGGCGCACACAGCCAGGCCCCGAATTCCAGCCCATTGGTCCTGAAGGAAATGTTCTGATCCGTTTCTCTTCTTCAGCAGAACCACCTCTCAGAAGGGGGAGGGATTACGCGCTGGGGTCACAGTAAAGCCTTAAAGCCCTAGGAATGTTGTAAGGTTTGTATCCTTTTAAATATTTGCAAAGGGTTTTGAGTAAGAAATGAGGTAATGCTGATCCGATGCGGGGTTAGGGAAAAGTGGAATATTTTGCTTACTATTTTCATATTTTTGCATAGAAATGAAATGTGGAAGAGATCACACAATGCCTGGGTATTCAGCGTGTCATTATCAAGAGGCGAGAATTTAGGAAGGAGCGCCATATTGGAAATCAGCTTAATACATCTAAGAACACTGTCAAGTGACTTGGATGCAAACCCAAGAACGAGAGAGCATCCCTGGGAGTGGCAGTCTGTGCAGCAGGCAGAATCTGTGATAAAGGGGATGTGAGGTAACCTGCTCCATTTTCCTGTGTTATTTATAAGAGGGAATGTCACACGTACACACACACACTCACGGACTTCTACAAAAATTGCTGTGCTACCTCACTGATTCCCAGAGGCATGATTCAACGTTTTAAGAAACTGTATTTAAAAATTCAACACTTGATAAAAGAATTTTTATAACAAAATTCTGTATTCATGTGATGGCAACTTGCTTTTCTCGCACTTTATCCTCACTGAACATACCAGACTTCCAATAAACTAAACTCCTATAGTATGTACTTTTTCCTAAAATTATGTTTATTTTTCAGAACTGCTTGGTCAATGACTCATCTCCACAGTATTTTTTAATGTTTATTTATTTTTGAGATGAAGAGAGACTGTGAGTGGGAGAGGGGCAGAGAGAGAGACACACACACAGAATCCAAAGCAGGCTCTAGGCTCTGAGCTGTCAGCACAGAGTCCTACGTGGAGCTCGAACCCATAATCCGTAAGATCATGACCTGAGCCAAAGTCAGATGCTTAACCAACTGGGCCACCCAGACACCCTAATCCACAGTTAAAAAAAAAATAGATATGGTCCTGGGGCCCCTGGGTGGCTCAGTCTGTTGAGTGTCTGACTCTCAGTCTTAGCTCAGGTCTTTATCTCAGGGTCCTGAGTTCAGACCCTGCATTGGGCTCCTTGCTGGGAGTGAAGCCTACTTAAAAAAAAAAAAAAAAAAAAAGAAATAATATGGTCCTGACAGAAAATATTAGATGATGTTATACAATGTTGAATGCTTAACAACTGCTCTTCTAGATGCCACTGTCTTCTATAAGAGCACATGTAAACGTGTAAAAATGCTTTTTAAATGCCTGGGAAAACATGGGAAGAGGATTAGAGTAGATGGTCTCCTTCAGTTGTGTCTGTAAGTTTTCTAAGATGCACAAATTCCATAAGAGCTCCTTTAGAGATTGATTGATTGATTGATTGATTTTGAGAGAGGGAGAGAAAGAATTCCAAGCAGGCTCCACTGTCACCACAGAGCCTACATGGGGCTTGATCCCATGAACCTGAGATCAAGACCTGAGCCAAATTCAAGAGTTGGATGCTCAACTGACTAAGCCACCCAGGCACTCATATTAATACCAGTTATAAAGAATGTCAAGCCATGTCCCTTTATCTGTTTCATTTATCAAAGCAAACCATTTACCTTCACCTTTTCTTTCTGTTCTTGTCAAATAAGTCTCATTTTTCAGAGATGTGTAGGAAGGGTCGACGCTGAATGGACGTCATATGCCAAGGCAAAATAACGAGGTGAAGTTTGAATTAGAATGTCAGTAGTGATGTGGAAACACTGTCCCCAAGGACAGCTTGTGAAGTAAGGACACAGCAAACTGCTGGCCAGTCCGGCCACCCACACACGGTTTATCTCTGCCACTAGAGCATCTACCGCAGGGAGACGCACAGGAGGCAGGTTAGCGAGCCCCCGCGGTTCTGTCCCCGGGAGGCCACCAGCCTCTCCCCCGGTCAAAGAGTCGGCTGAGCATGGGGCTCTGAGGTGTTTGCGCCCACGGAAACTCGGCCTGCAAGCCTCCGTGCCGCTGAAGGAAAGAGAAGCAGTTGAGATCTCGGTGAGGGCCGTGAGCCACAGCTCTCATCTCCGATTTTTCAAAATCACCCTTAACTTGTGATCCTTTTTATGCTCCGTGGGTTTATATTTCCCCTTCTAACATAGGGCTCTACCCAGGGAGGCAAAGGGTGTGTTGTTGCTGCTGTTGACTTCTTTGTTTTGTAATAATGAACTGTTATGATGGAGATAAGGACCTTTTGTAACCTACCTGGGCACTTTGGGAATGACTGAAGAAAATCCAGCCCCGGAACATTCTGTGCATAATTAGGTGGCGAATGGTTGCACTGTGCTGAGGTCAGGCCTGGCTTCTGTTGACTTCACTTGAAATAAACTGCCTTTTCATCTCCATCACAATGCGTGGAAAAACACAGCAGAGAAAAAATGATTCTGTATCCTGATTCCTACAAAGGGGATTTTTTAATAAATCTGAATTCCAAAAAAAAAAAAAAAAATCTGCAATTCATATAATGCCTCGGCCAAACCTTTCCAACAGGGTTGGGGATGGTCATTTGCAAACTCGTAGAATGTACTGTAAGATGCACAGAGCATGTTGCCATGAAGGGGAGAGGGAATGAGACAGACCGACGAGTCCTCGGTCGTTAACCTTGCTTCGGGGACCCTGAGATGCCAGCGTGGGCTGAATTGTGCCCCCAAAGAGATACGGAGAAGCCCCAGTCTCAAGTACCCATGGATGTGGGTTGATCTGAAAATGGGTTCTCTGCAGATGAGATCAAGTTGAGATGAGGCCACAGCACCTCAGGATGGCGCTAATCCAGTGACCGGTGTCCTTGGGAGAGGAGACACAGGGACAGACGTCCACAGGGAGAACGGCACATGATGAAAACAGTTTCAGAAATCATGCTCCCACATGAAGTGTACATATCATGGCGCCTGAGTGGTTCAGTTAGTTGAGCATCCAATTCTTGGTTTTGGTTCAGTTCACGATCCCACCGTTTGTGGGTTCGAGCCCCACATCAGGCTCTGCACTGACAGCATGGAGCCTGCTTGGGATTTTCTCTCTCCATCTCTCTCTGCCCCTCCCTTGCTCTCTCTGTCTCTTTCTCTTTCAAAATAAATAAATAAACTTAAAAAAACCCATCATACATACTTCGTATATATCGTATATTACCTAATAGGGCACGTATATGTACATATGTCATAATATTTTATGTAGAAACATTGTCATGTATTACATAACATATACTGTGTATAGGTCTATGAGTATGTATACATATATATCATTTTTTGTCTTTTATTTATCTTGACTGTGAGTTTCTAGAAATTAGGAAATGAGAGTTATTACATCTTTGTATTTTCCTTACATAGACCTATGGCCCAGTGCCCAGTCGATGGTAAATGTTTAATCAACGCTTCACTGAAATGAGAGAGAGACTGCCATGCACGTGTGCAGTATCGTCAGACTGTCCAGTACTTACCACGTTGCTGACCTATCCCCCCCCCAACCAGCTGGTGATGAGCACCTCAGCTGGGCAATGTCACTTCAGTCATGACCATGTTGCTCTTACCTTCTTGAGAGAAAAATACATGCCCTGGCATTCACGTAGAGCCTTTCACTTTTCACAGTCAAGTTTCCACAGACAACGGTCCAGTGGGACATACCATCCCCTTCCCCCCAGATAATGTAACTAGGGAAAGTGAATTCATTTGAAGCTAAACTTGGAATAACAGACCAGTAGTAAAACAAGTGTTTTGTGGAATTACATTTTATTACCAGGGGAATGCACTCCATCTTCTTCAACACAGAAGATTCCAGCATTATGCGTATGTGATGGAAAGTTCATGTCCTGTTCATGTTACATAAATACTGGACATTCCACCAAAACCCAAGATGCTACCCCAACCTTTTCCAGTGACTGCAGGTGGCCCTTCTGTAGAAAATAAGGAGAGAATCGGCCGTTTAGAGTCAATTACTCTAATACTAGAAACCTGAACTAACACACTGGTTAGTTGGCATGCTAACATGTCTGTGGTTCCTTCATTCTTCAGCCAGAAAACGACAGTTTTCCTTTATTCAGAGGTAAGAGTTGTCTGTGTAGACAGACTTCTTTTTTTTTTTTTTTTGATGTTGATTTATTTCTGAGAGGCAGAGAGAGACAGAGCACAAGCAGGGGAGGGGCAGACACAATCTGAAGCAGGCTCCAGGCTCCGAGCTGCTAGCACAGAGCCCGACACGGGGCTTGAACTCATGGACTCTGGGATCATGACCTGAGCCGAAGTCTGACACTCAACTGACTGAGCCACCCTGGTGCCCCAGACAGACTTCTTTTTCCATATACCAGAGACTATATTAACATCTGTAAAATAGATTATATATCAACCAGAGAGAGCCAAGAATACTAGATTTCACCCTTAAATTTGTGTGCAATGGCTTCCATGAACCTGTCTACCAGAACCTCCCAGAAAGCATCTGCATCCTCTGGGAGACTGAGCGCAGACGTAGGCAGACCGACCTCTCATGGCTCTCTCTTTGCTGTTAACCAGGGAACCCATTTTGGTGAGAATATGGTGCCCAAGAGAGCCTCCTTCCTCTGCTTCCTCCTGGACGGTGTTGCTCTCGTGCCATGTGGAGCACTTCCTGAGAGCGAGCAGAGTCCTCCCTCCTCATCCATCTGTCCAGTCCAGCGCCCAGAGGAGGGCGTGTGGCGGGAGGTCTGCAGATGTGCCTGAGGGTGGAATCCAGGAGACAAGTCAACTCGGCCCACCACACAATCGTTGTGTTCCCACCCCATGCCCTGATGTAGGGAGCGTATTTTAAGATGCTTCATGACAAGGATCTGACAGCAATGTGATTTTTTTTCACTTCTTTGGTCTCCACTTTATTTTATTTTTGTATCATCTTATTTTTTAATATTTATTTATTTTTTAATGTAAGTTATTGTCAAGTTGGCTAACATACGGTACATACAGTGTGCTTTTGGTTTGGGGGGTAGATTGCTGAGATTCATCGCTTCCATACAACACCCAGTGCTCATCCCAACAAATGCCCTCCTCAGTGCCCATCCCCCATTCCCCCTCGCCCCTGCCCCCCTCATCAACCCTCAGTCTGTTCTCTGTATTTAAGAGAGAGTAACATGATTTTAAGAAAAAGAAGGAAAAGAATATAAGGAGCAAGGGCAGACCACCCCAAAATGTTCCTCACTTTGGCATTTTGATTATTTTAAATAAAAGTTACCTAAGAAACAGCAGTTGCAAGGACACTCGGCCCTCCTCTGTGCCCCAGAAAGCTGGAAGTAAATCTCCCCTGTGGATGGTACCCTCCCTGTGCTGAGAAGTAAAAACACATCCTTATCACCAGAGATAAAAGCTTCGAAGCAGAGAAAGCCTTAGAAACAAATCTTGTTACTTTTTTTCTCATCTGCTACCTCTGCCCAACTTCTGCTTAGAATTCCTTACTAATTAAAGATCCCAAACATCTGTTTTCTTTATCCTGCTAATTCCCCACAAAGTGATTGTCTCTTTGTCTCAAAAGTATAAAACTGCTTGTCTGGCCATTTCTTTTGGTCTCAATGTCATTATTGGGCCTCTGTGTGCGGGGCAGGAAATTTGGAGATTTTCCTCCTGGTAACCTGTCTCGTGTAAATGTAACTCTTGAACCAGCTGAAAGCCTTGGAAGGCAGAGGAGGAATTTGTCCTTTCCTACAAGGAGAAGGAGGGAGAGAAGAGGGAGATGAAGAGGAGGAAGGCGAGGAAGGAGAGAGAATGGGGGAGGAGGGGGAGGGAGGAGGGGAGGAGGAGGGGGAGGGAGGAGGGGAGGAGGAGGGGGAGGGAGGAGGGGAGGAGGGGAAAAAGAGATCAAATATTTCTCCTGATTGAGTCAAGCTCCTTTAATCCTAAAGCCGTCTTCTTCAAAGTGGAGTTAATGAAACACGGGCACGGTTTATTAAAAGCCCAACACTATTTTTCAGTATTTTTTAATGATGCTGCCTGAAAATTAGGCACCACCTTACAGTTCACAGATCACTTGCAAGGCCCTAACACCATCTGATATTCATATCGCTCTGAGGCACGGACGGGGGGCACTTTGCCGTATGTGGAGACGCGGACGTTTCAAGGGGATTGCTTCCCGGTGTCACGAGCGGTGCGCGGCCCGGCGGGACCAGCCCCGGGCTCGGGCCGTGCGGGGCCGGCTTGCGCGTTGTCCGCCGCAAGTACATCCCACCTGCTCGACCTCACGCTTTAATTCTCAAAACATGATTAGCGAGGACAGTTTCAGAAATCCTGCTCCCACGTCCCGCCGTCCCCAAACCTGTAGGGCAGTGGGGGGGACAAAAACAAAGCTACAATTGAAATGCAGCTCAAATTATAACACAGGCACTGAAGACAGAGCAAGCGCCCCGAGGGTGTGCAGTGTGTCCGAGGCTCGCGAGGGGGTGAGGAGTGACGCTAGGGGGCGCTGGTGCAGCCGACTCGGGGCCTCCGGGTCCCGCCCCCGCCTCATCCGCCAGCTTCCTCCCGCCACGCGCTGCCACCGGCCTTGAGTGTGAGTCTGGGGACAGCGGCACGGACGACGAAGTGAGCACCCACGGCAGTCGTGGGGGTAGTGACAGGGCCCGAGGACCGGAATGCGGTCCCTGCCTGAGGAGCTGGCTCTGCCCGTCGGCGGACGCGAGGTCATCGTGTGGAGGGCGACATGCGCAGGTGTTGGGTCCACTCGGACCTGCCCGGCAGCTGACCTCAGTGGGACGGTGGTGACAAGTGACTGCTGATCCCAGGTGACAAGGTCCTTTTGAGAAGCTGAGGGGAAGGGGCCACGGGAGAGGCGGGGACGGCGGAGGGGGCGGGGCCACGGGAGAGGCGGGGACGGCGGAGGGAAAACGCAGTGAATATATAAAAGGTAGAATGGTGAGCAGTGTTGGCTGCATACAGGAGAAGGTTAGCCGGGGATGGGCCACGGATGCTATGGCCGTGACGGGCGCAGCGGTGAGCGAGCTCCGCGGGAGAGGGCGGATGGGCTCAGCCGCACACGTGCGAGTGTGCGAGGCCTGTGCTTTACCCGAGCGAAGCGCGGCTCCGTCAGGCGGCAGGACAGACGGGTCTGCAGCCCAGAGGGAGGCGTGAGCCGCAGACCCAGACCCCGAGCCCGTGGCACTCACTGCGACTTTAGGTAGAAGCCTTGGGAAGCAGGAGGGATTACCCAGAGGGAGCTGCCGAGTGACCCAGAGGGAAGGGAATGCCGCCACTCAAAGTCGTGGGGAGGAGAGGGGCTCACGGGGAAAGCGCGAGAAGATGCCGGAAGACAAGGAGGAGCAGAGTGGTGTGTCCCGGGAGAGACAGGGGCAGAGATTTCCCAGCAGGACAGCGAGGCGAGCAGTCTCCGCTGTGGCGAAGAGCCCGCAAGCGTAGGGCGGAAGGGCCACCGTCGGGATGACAGTTACAAGTCCCCACTTACTTAACGGGAAGCCACTTCTGTGCCACGGCGGAGTTAGAAGCTGGCTGTGGATGAGAAGTAAGCAGAGGGGCTGGGAATGGAGAGAGAGGCCCAGCCGTGGAGGAATGGGAATCAGGAGGAAAAACAGAAAGGTGACCTTCCTTAAAGTCGTGACTCCATTACAGTGACATTTAATGGCGTTTTCCTTGCCTTCATGGTGGCTTCCCCTCCATGGCCCTGCAGACCAGCTCGGGTAGGCAGAGCCCGGGGCGTTGGTGGATAAGTGAAGGCTGAGTGTCAGAGGGAGACTGAGACAGCATCAGAGAGGGCGTCTTCATCACTGCCCCAGGTCAAAGCCTCTGGGACGAGGGACTGACATCTGCGCTGTCCCTGTGGCCCCTCCCTCCTCCACCTGACAAGTCAGTCTGGGCTCACTTTTGGCTTTGGTTCTGGGGAATGTGAATGCCGTAATTCATGGTCAAACCCTGCCAACACCTGGCATTCAGTTCTTATTGGCATATTGTTTTTATTCTGGGCTCTGCTTGGAATAAAACTCCTCCCCTTCAGGGGCGCCTGGGTGGCTCAGTTGGTCGAGCATCCGACTTTTGATTTCGGCTCAGATCATGATCCCAGAGTCGTGGGATCAAGCCCCAAGTTGGGCTCTGAGCTAAGCATGGAGCCTGCTTAAGATTCTCTCCCTCTCTCTCTCTGCCCCTCCCCTACTCACGCTCTCTCTTTTTCTAAAATTACAAAAAATAAATGTCCTCTCCTTCATTCCTCTGGTTGAGAGGTAGGGCAAGTCAGACATGATTTTCAGGAAGACATTCAGATACAAAAAGTCAAAGGGGAGAAGACAGTTGTATTGATGCAGAACATAAAAATCAGAGCGCTTCAGGAGATTTTGGTCTCAAAGATATTATATTTTATACCACTTCATATTTATACCACTGGAATCCAATTTTAAATCTGTACTATTAGAATTTATGTGGGCTTTAACTACACAAATTTAGAATAAGTGCCATCTAGATTTCCTTTCC